CCAGAGGATGCATACAGCCGTCTTAGGTTCCTGCTGAGGTACATGCATGCTGATCACTTTTTGCAGCAAAACTTAAGTATCACGACAGTGATTAGATCCATCGAGACACGCCGCCTTTAGCGGGAGGTGGCAGCCGCTGCACTGCTTTGAATAATATTCACAATATTTACTATTCATCAGTACATACAGCGCACATCTTTGAGGGAATGCTTGGCTCTGAAGTCAGAAGACAAGTTGATTATGTAGTGATAGGGGACACAGATGTTGGTGGCAACCAGTTGGCTGAAGATGAGATCATGGGGGAAGAAGGCTGTAATTAGATGTCATCTCCACGGTGATCACAGGAACACAACAGGAAGCGAATTCTACGACAGGGAACTCAGATTACTGATTTTATCTTCCTGTCCTCCACTCAATCAAAATCACTTTTACAAGAAAAAAAATTAAGAAGATAATAACAATATGATTCTCTTTCCTTTCCCATATTACCCGCTTATACCCGCTTATTACCCACAGAATAGGCTTTTCTGTCCTTTGAAAGAAGCATTAGGACTAAGGAAGAGTAGGCGTTAGGTTTCTGTTCTGAGGTAAAATTCATGCTTGACATGTACCTGTGCAGTTTTGCCTTATTTATATATATATATACACACACATTTAAGTGTGTGAGCAAAGATGCTCTACTGAGAAAAAGGATCCTTTAATATCTGTGGAGGTTGTAGTTTCTCTTGACTCTATTTGTCTCAGGCTTGGCTTAATGACAGGAGTTCCTAACACCGGTGTCTATGAGTTGCTTAAACAGTCTGTGTGTGGCTCAGCAGCTGAGAACAATAACTCCACAAAGGAGGTCGAAGCAATGTATTTTTTCCATAGAGGACTAGCTATTTGTGCAGTGTCTTTAGCCCCTTTGTTTGTTTAGCTCCCCGGGAGAGGCTACATCCTGGCCATGTTTTGAGTGAGACATGAGGACATCTTCGTGGAGAGGCGCAACGGGTCACAGGGTTGCAGCAGTCCAGTCTGCGATACGGAGTCAAATAACATGCCTAAAACCAAATATGCTAACTGGGAATGGCTGCATGTGGACTCTGTCCAGGCTGAATTTTATTGTTTTTCCAAACACCGGGGAGATAAAAGAAGTCTATCTGCCAGGTCTCACACTCAAGGAACTTTAAAAAAAAAAAAAAGTTTGTGCATACACATACGCGTGTCCTTTCCATGTCTGTTTGTCTCACAGCACAAAAGACTTCACATGGTGGATAGCGAGGGGAAACCCCAAATGCAAGCGACCAAAAATATCCTCCACTCATGAGCCCCAGTACCCCTTTGCAGTGATCCTGTAGTCCTTTGGAAAGGGAAATAAGAATGCAGCACATGCTGCCTGCTTGGCCTGAGACTCATCCTGAAGTACCATGGGGCATCACATTCAAAGCAACAAAGCAGCAAGAGCTGTAGGCCAAAAGTGGATCTATACCCTGTGGTGAAAGCTGACTAAGGTTCCCCCACAGGAACAGATGTGTACAAGCTTTAATGTTCCGCTCCCACACAATAAGCAGGTAACAAATTCAGTAAATTAGTCCGGTCTTAGTGTATGAAGTCTATCAATACATGTATAAACTGTATAGAGCACCACAGTTCTCAATAATTTACGCACTTCCTGCCATCAAATTCAAGATGAGATAACACTCTTCATTCTGTCTTTAAATGTTGATGAAAGCTATTGCTAAATAGCTAAGAGAAGCTTGAGATGTAAGATTCTCATGCTGGATGGGTATTCGACAATGACCAACTAAAAAAAGTTAATTAAATTTCTGCGGTTGAAATTTTAACATAAGACCAGCCATGCATCTTCAATTTCTCATAATCTTATATGCATGCTGTGGGATGTGTTAACATTTACCATTTCTGGGAATCATTTAACTGGGTCAGTACCTAAATTAAGAACACCTGAATAACATTTTAAATGGCCGATTTCTTATTTGGCCTTAGTTAAATAGATATACATTCACTTTAAAATGAATTTTTATCTGGATGACAGTCCAGATCTGAGCAGATTTCTAATGTAGGGTTTTATTCTGAAGACACATTAGTACATGATTGCGTTGAAATCCTTCAGGCGGATATTTTTTTCCAGAAAACGAGAAATACAGAGAGAACTTCACACAAGGACTCATGCTGACATTTCGCCCCAGGCAGCGGGTGCCCTTTCTAAATGTGTCCGGGGATATTGTGGCAATATCTCAAGCAGTGCTTTGCCTCAGTAGCCCTTAATATAAAAAAGAAGAAACAGAAACAAAAAAGCTCCATTCAGCTGCACACAACATATTTCAAGAGTCATGAGTAGTTTTCATCACCTTGTGAGCTCTTTAAATAAGTGTGACTGACTACGCTTAAAATGAAACAAAGTAATACACATAAAGGGCTAAACTTTACAGTTATACAGGACCACTGAAAATGCTCACTATACATACTAATAATGCATACTAATACAGTAAAACATGATAAGTCAACGTATTACAGAGGCTCCACTATACTAGACATTCTTAACTTGGGAGTTTCCGTTCTTTGCTGAGCAGAAAACTCATCGTTTATGAAAAACCTGAAATAGGATTAGCTTCTACACACATGGTGTGCTAATGCCAAAATCAGGAGTCAAGAAAACAGACTCCCAGAGTTGTAGACTTACATCCCGAAACAATTTACAGGCTTTTCCAGACAAATTCAAGCTGAAGGAGCAACTGAATCATGCAGCAAGACGTGTCTAAGAACTAAAAAATTTCAACATAGGAGCTGTAACTTTAAGTCTTGCAAGGGCTGATGTCAAAGTGCACAAGTACAAGATTACATGGGAGCTGTCCAAAAAGAACATTAGAGCAATTCGAAAAACTCCCTTTGGAATAATGTGTCTGGAGAGAGGAGTTGGGGATAGGGTTGAAGGTGAAACGGGGTGTCCGTGGTTTGACTTTGTCTGTCTTCAGGTTTTTTTTTTTATATCGTACCTCTCATGCTTCTAACTTTGCATTTGTCCTTTCTTTTTTTTCTTTTTTTTTGTCTTCTGCTCGTTTACATCCAGACTCTTTGTCTCTTACTCCCTTGCTTACTCTGGTAATCTCATTTCTTGTCTGTCTTCTGTGAATTTACTTTCGCCTGTCGTGGGTCTCATTCCTTTGTGGCTCTCTGTGTATGTCATGACAATCCACTTTTGATATTTTTTTCTGTAACCAACCAGTTTGGCCTGCTTTCTTCTTAACGGAAATCCGGGTTTTCATTTGGAGTTGATTTTCTACACCTTGGTTCCAGGTAGGTTTAGTGTGAATGGAGCACATATTTTAAAAGATTTGGAAGATGGTACCATGTTTGGATTAAGTCAGTAACTTGCAGTTACTAATTGAAATTGAGTTACTAATGAAATTTAAAATATATCAAACCTTTCCAAAGTTATTGTTAGGTACTGATAGAAAGCTTTGCAGCACCCAAAATGAACAAAAGTTTTGTTGCCAGACATATCTATTAAAAGCTGACAAAATAGGAATATATCTGGGCATTTAACTCACATCATTTCATCCTGGACAATGATTTTTTTCTTCTGCCTCTGCAGATGCCGACTGTGTTTGAACAACTGGGTTTCATCAGAGGCATGTCGTCAGTTTGCCAACAGCCTGACACAAGAACCATCACTAAATGTCAGCACAGAAGTTTCACTCCTGGCTGTGGTGAAGAAAATCGAGTCCGCACACTTCTTCCTCCAAGTGTTTCGTCTGGTTGAACATTAAACGGCTTCCGTTCTGATCTCGATGAGGTATCATTTTGACTTGTAACACAATGCATTTTCCCAGTAACTAACCTGGATTTCCAGACCTGCTGCAAACAAGGCATTCTGATGGATTGGTATTTATAATGCATGGAGGTTTGTTTGACTACAGTCTTTCCATCATCGTCTAGCTCATTACAAAGATTGCACCTCTCCATCATCTCTGTTTGTTCCTCTTGGCTCTGAGTTTGAGCTCAACAGCTAAACTTTTAAATGAATGATATAGGACAGTGACAGCTCATGCTGTGTGAGGATCGTATGGGTGAAAGTAAGGTGTTTTTTCTCTGAAGCTGATTACAATCCAACAATCTGCAAGATAGCTTTGTAAAATCCCCACCCGTGCAAAGCAGGAATATTCACCAGAGATAATGAGTGTGATTTCCTATATAAAAGATATTTCAAGAGTACATAAGCCATAAAATTGCAGCGGCTGGTGTTGAAAGCTCTGTCCCACAGTTTGCAGGTGGAATTTACATATATTAAGTGTGGAAAACAAGTGAGATTCATGGCTGACATGGGCATGAAAACCCATTCGCTCACCCACTGTTTGCTTCCCTCTCCCTCTTCCTCTCTCTCTATCACACAGACAGCTCTGCTTGTTCGTGGCCGCTCATGTGTGGCAGCTGAGCTGGATGGAAAACATATTGCTCCATCAATCACGGCCCATTCTTCTCAGCTGCATACTCGAGACCAACTCTGTTTGAGACTGAAGCCATGCAGAAATGTGTAAAAATGCAAATATGACAAATACATCTCCAAACACATCACAGCAGCATCTGTGTTAAACCGTGTCTACACAGATGACCCGATCTTTTCAAAAAGCCATGCTCCTTCCTGACACCATCTTAATTCACAGTGTATTCCATGTTCAAACAAAAAATATCTCTCTCCAGTGTTAGGTTAGTGGATCAAATAAAAACACAGGGTGAAAATAAGGAGAATACATCGCTTTTCATTCGTGTCAGGCTGATGTATTCCTCTCTTTCAAGTCTTTGTTTCAGCACACAAAAAAAAACTGAAATGCACACAGAACAATGCCATCCCAACACTCATAGTAAGAAGAGAAAAAGTATTTTTCCCTTCCTTTTTCGACGGCTCCAGCTATAGCCTGTGGGCATAGCATATGTCACCTATTTGCACTCCAGAAAGCACTCAGTTAGAAGCTGATTCCAAGTTTGAATGGTGGGACACTTACTCGTTCTTCCTCACAGCCAAGAGCAGCTGCTCACCTTCCGCTTCAATACGGAGCTTCAGTGATGGGGGGTGACTCTGAAGAGACAACATATAAGGAAGGTTAAAAATGAATTCTTTCCGGAGTAGGACGATGCAGCACTTTGATTTGAAAACTATCATCCTCATGGCTCTACAAGGGTCCCATTAATTTAATTTAAAGATAGCAAAAGAAATTAAATTAAAGCAGCACCTAAAATCCTTGGGGGCTTGGGTAAACCTTTTTCTACGAGAAAACATGCAAGATGACTATTTCTGAAGTGATGAGGGGGAATAAAAATTCTTATGAAGCTACTTTGTATCTTAGAAACAAGGGCTGAAAGGATTAGCTTTATGTTTCCATTTCTTTTGACAGTAATCCTGCGGAAAGCCGCGAGTTTTCACAGCCCTGAGTCACAAAGGCCGCGTGTCTGTTAGAACAAGTGGCACTGCGTCATGGATATCCCTTCTGTCAGTCACGCTGTACCACAGACACTTCAGCACAGGGAGGCACGATCACTCACAAGACCTCTTTCAGCTTATATGTGAGCGGGATTTTGAAAAAAGAAAAAAAAAACTGAAAAATCTTGCGCGTGTGTTTTGTGTTGAGCCCACACACACACGCTCACACACACGCGCACACACTCCCAAACAGGCCCATTCGACACGTAGTTCAATCTGGGTCAGCTCCAGCAAAGAGCACGGCTCTGGGTTAAGTCATCCATCACCCCCCGAGAAGAAGAATGTCAAGTGGATCATAAGAGAATATGGAAGCAGAACACTTAAGGTTTAAGGCAGTATCATAGCAAGCCTCCTATCTCAGCTATTTTCTGCCTTGACAGCTTTCCATATGCTTGATTAGACGTGCAGTCTATAATGTTTACAACGGCGGCCCTTTTGACCTGAGAGAAAACACAGCCCGTGCACAGCATTTTTGGGCTTGTTATCAGAGCGTTATGAAAATAAGCCCTCAGACTCGCCGTTGCTGCAAGTATTCAGTAATCCAATTATCAGGGGTTTTATTTTGTTCGGGGGGGGGAATTGTGGCAAACCTTGCAGCTTCCTGTCTGTTTGCTTACATCTACACAAATTCATTCAGCAATGAACTAAATCAATAAAATCATCTTGAGGCTTAGGCTGCTCATCTTGTCAAATCTTCGTGACAGCCAGGTATTTTTATTCATACAATCCCAAACAGCTAAAAAAAGCTTTTTTTCATGTTTCAGTGGATCATTTTTGGTTCTAAATGCATGGCAACTTGTGCTTGAAACATGAGCACCGCCTGGAGAAATAAAGGCTGCTGTTGCTGCATCACTGCAAACTGTTTAAAACAGTGTAACACACACTCACAGCTGGTCCCAACACTCCTGATGTGAGCAGAATTCATTACTGGACAGGGACTGATCAAGCTGCTGAAGTATAATGTGAGATTTAGTCGTCCTTGATTTTTCTTATAGGATTAAGTTTACACGTGTGTTCATTAAAATCATAGGTATATCTTATTTGGATTCAGATCACACAATTGCACGAAAAAATCTTGAGAAACGACGGCTGACATACAGGTATCTTCTGCCTGTACAGTAAACAGCTTTGTGTGGAAATGATCAGGAGGGATCCAGCAGTGTCTGTTGGCTGTGGTCTTAAACAGCCTTTGAAAGACTGCCAGCTTGCCCTTTTCATGCTGTTAGCATATTAACCAGATGCGATTTTACTAAAACGATCATATTTGTCTTTCATTTACATTTCACAATGGCAACATTTTCTTGGAATTTGGAGTGGCTGCGCTGGACCGGTTTGTACAAGATAAAGAGCAATCAGAACCGGAGCAGGTCAAATGCATTGTTCTGTACGGCTATTATCCACCTGGGATTTGAGCTGGCTGATTGGCTTCCATTCATGTCCGACAAGCTGAAGAGGCACCGTAGTGTTGTGATGTGGCCGCCTCACCGTTGGTCTTTGCTGAACGGGGCTGCTGAAAAGAGTCCCTGTGAAAGGAAAATACCACATATGAAGAGAAAGGAAGTGCTCAAGGAGTTCTTTAGTTTTCACAGAGCAGTTTTCAGAATTTCTAAAACATATGACAATCCATTTGTGGTAAAAGAAAAAGTGATTTCATACATTCAAACGCTGATGATGACATCGTCCCTGCTATTAATGCTGCAGCCAAAGGTTATTAACCGCATCAGAACACAACCTGTCATCTCAAATGTCCTTTAAACAGAATTACAGTGTTTATGTGTGGCCCGGCTTTTCCATGTCACCACACGCAAATATATCTATTCCATATATTTAACAATTCTTCATCCTAACAAGCTTAGTATATGTCCACCTTCTTTTATGAGGCTTTCAATAGAGGGAGCTTGTCTTCTCAGCTATAAAGACGACATGAGTACAGCACCGCTAAATGGCACCCTCAAACATCAAGCCTGTGGCAAAAACCATAACCGCCCCCTTTACTGCTCAGGCTGCATGAATCTATTCCAGTTTAGGAATGGGGAGTTTTGAGCGAAGAGGAGCTTGGCTTTTTCCGCCGCTGCCATCCTATCTCCCACCGCAGGGCCAGTGTCCAGGATGCAGTGCAGGGATTAGACATAGCTTTGGGTCATTGTTCCCAGCATACTTTATCTCCTCTCTTAAATTCTGACAGGGTGTTAACTGAACCTCCGAATGGCCACAGTGTTTGGAGCTGCGCTGTGTTGCCAGTACATTCACCCCCTAATCCAATACTGACACCCCCAAGCAGTCGAGTGATAAAGTGGCGGAAAAAAATGGCCTCGACCCAAAGAAAACCCTTAACAGAGACAGAGGGCTTCACTCTTTCTAAAAAAGCACATCTCCATAGCACAGACAGTGTCAGACTGTAGCAGCGGGCTATGGGATGAGGGGGGGGGGGGCTCTGCTGTAATCAGCTTCCTGCAGTGGGAAGTTATTTTCTTGCTCGGGTGTCTCACTAAAACAGCAGGGGTTGTTGCACCATTTGTTTCAGTGCAAACATCCTAAATCAAATGTTTGCTTGTTTTTTTGTTTTTTTTGGTGCAAACAGCAGGAGAACAGATTAATCTATAAGGGTGATGTCAGCAGACTCGTGAGAAAGATCTGCTCTCTGAGTAATAAATAGCTTCTTTTTAACTTTTTAATAAAAATTACATTTCCAATGCATAAAAACACAACACACAGGGGAATAAACATAAAACCCACCGGGGAATAAACACATCCCAGATTATCATTACCAGTAGATACAGATGTCTTCCTTTGGGTGACTCACTCGTCTAAACTGCTGAGTCTGCTAGTTATCCAGCAATAATAATCCAAGTCAGGCACAAAGCTCCCCAGCTGAGGCGCATTCTGTTTATCCTGTGAAAACCGCTAGCCTGGAGTTCATCAGAGAGCCATTCCAGCTGATAGCAGAGAGCAAGAGGTGACCAGCTCAGCAGTCCTCGTCCAGTTTCAGCCCGATGACGAGAAGCAGGCTTCAGCGAGGATGGGACGGCATCATGGAGCTGCATTCTATAATTATTAGTGTGAGACGAGCAGCGCATCCATGAAGAGCAAAGAAACTGCTGTGGATTATGAGTTTACTTTCTATATTTTACTTCTGATTTAGCATTTTATTTCCACAGTGACCCCTGTTTAAGTTTAAGTCACTCTGTGCATTTGCTTCCGGATTTTGATTTTGCCAGATCAGATAATCGGTGTCATTCTCTCGGTTGATGATCTGATCTTGATCCTTTTGTCTTTGACACTGAATTTTATGATTTCGAACGACTCATGCCGCCATCGTTTTAGTTTATTTTCTCTGCATTTGAGTCGTGCTTTTTGGGCTCTCATATTATTTCTTTTAGAGGCAGGATGTGCACAAAACACCCAACTCCACTGAATTTCAAAAGACAAGGTCAACAATACGTGAAGCAAATAATGCAACGAAACTCATAAATCATGACAAGAGTTCATGACGAGCGCGGGAAAAGTTGGCCCAGATAAAGAAATGATAAGGAAATCAAAGGGAAATTCTGACAGAGAGAGGTCAGCTCGACATTGTGGCTGAATCCATTTATGTGGCTCACACATAACACATCACGCTCACCCAGATGGAACAGCCATCGCCTTTTCTAATCGACTTTGAAGATGAGATTCACAAATGTTCTGCATTTAGCTCCTTCACTTCAAAGTCTGCAAGTGAATAACCATTTTGTTAATGCGGTGCGCCATGAGGTTTAATTTCTGCTTATAAACGGCATTATATTAGTGGAAACGCTCTGCCGGCTCATATCTTTACCACATGCTTGGTGGAGACATTTGGTGAAGCCAGTAAAGCATGGCTGGGCTTTATGTGCAGTTGCAAGTGCCTTTTGTTAGCTAGAATGTTATAAGAGCAACTATGGGCATTTGGGGAGTGGTAAAAGTGGCACCAGGACCCCAAGCCTTATTTATGTTCAATATAGAGGAGTGTAAACAGAGGTCTTAATAAAACAGAGTTTTGGCCATGATCACCTCCCTTTATGCTTCACTGTAAAAGGAGAGCTTGTGCAATTTATATTACCTCAATAAAGTCGCTGCTAGGTGGGAGGATTGTATGTCTGTGTACATGGACGTGTAGACTATATGCATGTATTTGCGTGTAGGTGAAGGAAATATGATACAGAGCTATGACTGACTGTTAAGCATAAAACAGGGAATTCATTTGTAATTAATGCTATTTTAATGAATGTTCTAACACTCAGTCATTATACTTAGGTGACTATAGATAAGTGTATATATATATATACTGTATATAAATGAACCAGTTTGAAGCTCTATTCATACATGCACTGTGTTCCATTAATCTGACAGCAAGAAAATGTGTCGGTGTCGAGTCTGAATGAGTTTCACCATTTTGTAAGAGCAAACTGACAAGGTCAGACCTCGGAACACGTATGCGTTCACTTTTAACGTGCCACAAGTCTGAAGTACTTTAGTTAAATGAACAGGCAGACATGACCAATAGGAGTGGGTTCAGATGGAAATCTATGAATGCTCTGCAATTTCTCCCTTTCAACATGTTACTAAATTAGCTAGAACATCTGGTCATTTCTCCATGGTGACCGACACAAATAAAGGAGAGATAGTAACATGTTACTATGAAGAAACTGTGTCTCTAGCAATTGTAAAGCAGTAGAGTAGCAGACAATGTTTCACATGTGGTGTATGACCACATGATGTTGTGGTGCCCTCCATGAGGACGTGTCTGAAACGTCTCCCCTGGGAGGTGTCCAGAAAGCCTCCTGACCAGAAGCCAGACAGCATAAACTGGCTTCATTCCATGCAGAGCAGTGGTTTCTCTGAGCTGCTTCAGAATAACTGAGCTCCTCCGTCCTCACAGGAAGCTCATTTCTGCTACTTGTGTTCTCGGTTTCAGTTTCGACCTTAACCCACAGCTCCTGACCATAAATTTGGAACACAGATCAATCCGCTTTGCCTTTTAGCTCCATTTCCGCTTTACTATGACAGATACCATCTTGCTATCAACTGGGAGAGAACACTCCAGAACACTTCTGTACATATATACGCCCCTAATTAGCTGACCCACGACCACTTCCAAACCACACTGCTGCTCTGATCTTCAAGAACCTATGAAGATCTTGTCTCGAGAGCACCACCAAAGAAGCTGAGAATTATTGTTGGAACCACAGTCTGGCACGCCTGAGAAATCGGACCACTCATGTGGTCAGTCGGTCCAGTCACTGTCCGAGCACTCTACGTAATGTTGCACAGTGGCGTCAACCACAAAGCCAAACCACTGTCAGAGCCCTAAAGAAATATTCCAATGGTGTGCTCCTCAGTGAATTGCTTCTCCAGAGTCTAAGGGGAACAAGTGACCTCCTCTCAGATATTCTCACATCCCAAGACTTAATTCATTACAGCACTTTCTACAAGTCCAGCTCCTCATTTTAGCAGAAATCGCTACCATCAAAACAAATCTACAACTGCGAGGCTTAATTGAACCCGAGACTGTAATGTGACCCTCCCCTTGACAGGCAACAAAGTAATGATGTATTCATAGTAATCTTGCCTTTTGCAACACAAATGACATGCTGTTCTTTTCATCTGCGCACTGGATGAGGCCGTGGCCCCCGCGTGTGCACAGCTCCTCCGAGACGGGATACAGACTTCACATCAATAAGGAACACTCCAGACGACATTCACTTTCAGTCTGATGGCTGGCAGAGAGAAAAAGCCACACAAGGACACATTACAAAGTCACTTTGACAGCTCTTCCCTCTGATATTAAAACATGCAAGATTTGAAATGAGATAACCGTGTTTACGGCCATAGTTCACATACAAAAGCCGAATTTACAGGCATATCACACACTCAATTTAGCTCCAATCAGAGTGGGCAAATGCTGCTAATTCAAATTGAATGCTGATTGGGAATAGGATGATGAATGACGCAGTGAGAGACCCATCACACATCCTATCAAATATGTCCTTGAGGGGAAAATGCAGTAAACTTTTCTGTCTTCTTTTGGTCCCCTATTTTATCAAACACTATAATGTATCTTATCTTATAATGTAAATGAATCTTACAATCAATAGATTGTCAGAAACTTCCTTTCGAAAGTAAGAGGAATCAAGCCTTTTTTAGGGTCAACAAACAGAACAACAGCCAAACATATGAACCTATTAATCAATTTGGAATAAAGCATTCAGAATTGTGATAATCACTTAACTTTTGTAATAAATTTATACAGGAGGATTTTCATTCTTGTTTCTGTCAGTTTCAAACAGGAATGTTGTTAGTAATAGAAAAATAAGCATAAAATCAGTAAAATATGTATTAAGGTCTTGAATCATATTGTTTCTAATATTTCCAACATCGAATTGTAAAATAAAAAAACATAAATTGACTACTGTGAAAAAAGCATTGGGTGAGAACAAAATATGAAAGTCAACAATTTACTACACAGAAAATAAAATGGCTTTAAATCTACCTTGACCACTTTACT